GAGATGAACTCTAATTCCAACTGGTCTTCTTCTTGAAACTTAGTCATTCTTTAGGGAAAGGAATCAAATTCCTTGCTCGTATTTCTTTTGATTTTAGCCGAACAAATTATTTTTGATAATGGGTTTGAAGGGATTTGTTGAAGGAGGCATTGCTTCGATTGTTGCTGGGTGTAGCACTCACCCTCTTGATTTGATTAAGGTCCGGATGCAACTCCAGGGCGAAGCGTCTGCGCCCAATCCGGCCATTCGTCCGGCTCTTGCTTTTCCGACGTCTGCCGCCCATCCCCACCATCACGTCCACCTCTCTCCGCCACCCCGTGTTGGGCCCGTTTCTGTTGGGGTTAGGATTATTCAGCAAGATGGTGTCAAAGCTCTCTTTTCCGGCGTTTCTGCCACCATCCTCCGCCAGACCCTGTATTCCACCACCAGAATGGGACTGTACGACATCCTGAAGAAAAAATGGACTGATCCCAACACAAAAAATATGCCTTTGATGATGAAGATCACGGCAGGACTCGTAGCCGGTGGGATCGGAGCCGCCGTGGGGAATCCTGCTGATGTCGCTATGGTTCGAATGCAAGCCGATGGCCGTCTCCCTCTGGCTCAGCGGCGCAATTACAAGAGCGTGGTGGATGCCATTTCTCAAATGGCCAAGAACGAGGGCGTAACTAGCCTGTGGCGCGGATCTTCCCTCACCGTGAATCGCGCCATGTTAGTGACGGCTTCTCAGCTCGCCTCATACGATGAATTCAAGGAAACAATACTGGAAAAACACTGGATGAAGGACGGTCTTGGCACCCACGTGACGGCCAGTTTCGCTGCCGGGTTCGTGGCGGCGGTGGCCTCCAACCCGGTGGACGTGATTAAAACGCGAGTTATGAACATGAAAGTGGAGCCGGGTATGGCTCCACCTTACAATGGGGCCCTGGATTGTGCACTGAAGACAATTCGGGCCGAGGGGCCCATGGCGCTTTACAAAGGATTCATTCCCACGATTTCTAGGCAAGGACCGTTTACAATTGTGCTATTTGTCACGCTGGAACAGGTCCGAAAATTGCTTAAAGATTTCTAATAAAATATTATGTGACCAGATGATGACGAAGAAGAATATCAAAGAATATATATATATATATATATATATATATATATTTTATTTTTAATTTA